TAGTATGAGTATTATCATTTTTACTAGTATTCTTGTTAGTATTTGTTTCTTTATAATATTGCGAGCGTACCGAGAGTCCAGAGCCCCGGCATGATCCCTTGCAGGAGGGCTTCAATCGCAAGCGTGTTTGGCGCGTGATGCGCAGCGTCCTCGAGGTGAAGAGGGTGTTTCAGAGGATAGACGGTTACTTGGAGGTTCCTGGGTAGTTCCAAGTGGACTTATAAGTAGGTGGGGTACCTACGCTTAGGGGCAAATAGCCCCACTTATAGCTACCGATGAACCTCCAAGTGCAGAGGGCCTGCCGCAGCATGGCATCGGGTGGCTCCTTGAGGAAGGTTCGAGACCTTCAGGCCTCCCTGTGTGCCATAGCATAAATCCTATCCCTGGAATTCCGTAAACCCTAAACTGTGAAGGCCCAAAACGCCCTGACCTGATAGAGACCCAAGACCCTAAAGTTTATAGACGCCAACTCCTAAATCCAACCCCCTACTTAAACAGTATCGAATCAGTAATTAATCTTTAGAACCGGCTTAAACCTTAAACCCTACCGACCTTGAACCATGCATGAACCATGCAGACGCTAAACTCCTGAGCCCCAAAGTGCCCCAAGAATCGCAGGAGCCCGCCGTGGGAGAGATCTACGGAAATGCTCTCGTCGCCGAGCCACCCGGATAGATGGGAAAGTCATGCTTCATATTCGTAACCCAAGATACGGGTTTATGGTTGAGCACATAGGGTTTAGTATAAGGTTTAGGGCTCAGTATAACTTTAAGCCAGTAGGAAAGTCATGCTTGGGGTTCGGAGCACAATTGCAAAGGGCTCCTTCAAGGGATCTATATGAGTTCCAAAAGAAGGGTTTAGGATATAGCGTTTAGTAATTTTAAGTATAGACAGAAACGTACTAAGGCTGAGAGATTTAGGGTGAAGGGCTTTACTTGTAGTCACTTTTAGAATGTCCGTTGTGGTTTCTTCAATTTTGTGACTTTGCCTTTCACTACAAGAACCCGGCGTTTTGCTTGTGCATGAAAAAAGAAGTAACTGCAAGAGGGACTACAGTTCATGGGTAGTTATAAGTGGATTTGCAAGTCCCCTACAGGAGTCATAATTGGAACAGTTACCCTACCTATAACTCAACTTATAACTACCCATGACCCTCTAAGTAGGGCTCAGAACTTCCGGAGTTTCACGTCGCTTCGCGGGTTTGACGAGTTCAACTGATAGAACGAAATTGCGCGGTTTTAGGGTTGGGTTTAGTTTAGGGTTTAGGTTTTAGTTTAGGGTTCAGTTTTTAGTTTAGGGTTTTGTCTAGGGTTTAGGGTTGCTCGCCCCAGGACCCAAGCTCGAAGCCCCGATACTTGGTGAACGTGAAAATGTGGCGGTTTAGGGCTCAGCACTCAGGTTCAGTGTTTGGGGTTCCGCCCAGGTGCCCTGGTAAACATTCCCTAACCATAGACTACAAAAACTTGGGTACGGCCCCACTCAGTAATAGTTGAATACTATTCATGATATAGATATATTAGGACCTTAATAGTAGCCCTATTACAGACTCTTACTGTACGGGGGCCGTACCTAAACAGAAACCATGAACCCTACGAGCCTTAAATCTTCAACCCTGTACAGAAAAAGACACCACACCCATCATGTAAAGCAGCAGGGACTCGAATATAGTACTCCAAATAGTAGGATCCTTATTGTAACGACCCCTAAATAAGGTTGAGGATGAAACCCCTGGAAGCCTCAACCTTTGCCCCAATCCTTGAGCTTTACAGCGTTGGTTCTGTGGTCTATGCCGCCAAGCACGGAGGGTGCAGGTTTGGTACCAGCTACAGTATACTTTATGAGTTCCTACATTATACTCAAATGAATTAGACCCAAAGAGTTCATTCTTGTTATGGCTTTGGCGGCCCACTTCCATATTGTTTCGTGGATCCTAATCAATCAAACACTACAAGAGATGTAAATGGTATGTTATGTTGTTTCAGCCTTTCCCAAACCCAGCACCACTCAAGTGAACCCCAGAAAGGTGGCACATGGAAAGAGGATGGTGAGTGCTGGCATCCCCTCTACTTCGCCTTTTAGGGCAGGAGGAGATTCATGTTTCAACTTTCTGGCTTCTACTTGGAGGTTCATGGGTAGTTATAAGTGGTGTTATAAGCCCCCCAAGAGGAGCTATAATTAAAGTTACCCTACATAGAATTCCACTTATAGCTACCCATGGACCTCCAAATATTATAAGCCCCTAAACCCGAAACAGCGGGATCCATCCTCAACCATCGACGAAGGTCCGTCCCGCTCTTCCACCTGCTGGCGCCTTTGCCGCCAGGCGGGCCCATTTGTTCCATGCGCGCAGTCTTACTTAGTTCATGGGTGGATATATATATATATATATATATATATAGGCGGAGTTATAGTTATAAGTAGGGTCACTCTGATTATAGCTCCTTTCTGGGGGGATCTATAACCCCACTTACGGCTACCCATGACCCTCCAAGTAGTGACTGGGGTTTATGGAAGTTCTCTCTGCTGCCGTCGAAGATAAGATAGGTCACGAGCCGCATTTCATCACACCATCGCTCATGATTCGCATACATGGACAAGAGTCGCACAGCATGGCGAAAACATACCTACGTTGAAGCTTTAGGGTTTAAGGCCTAGCGCTTAGGGTCCTAGGCCCTAAACTTTAGGGCTCAGGATCTGAACACTAAACTCTAAAACTAGAAAAGCTTAAACCCTACAGCGCCCTTCAGTACCCTAAGTGTCCACAATTTCAGAAAAGTGGGAATCACAAAACAGACCAGGGACCCTCTCCAAGTCTGTTATCATAGTTGGGTAGCCATTTTACTTGTTCATGGGTAGAACTCAAACCCAAGGGTTTTCATTTTTCAATCACTATCCCAACCATGAACTAGACTTTGTCCGTATCATTTGTCCGGGTCATCATGCAACTCAGGCTTCGCGAAAGGCATGCTTCTTTCCTTTTCCCGGGCTATGGACCTGACTTAGGGGTATTTAGAAATAGTTGTTAATTTTTGGTTATTGTAATCCCTAAGAAACAGCTAAAATACCTTTTTGCTGGGGTTCTAAGTTCAGTATAGCTGAAGGCTGTGTTTCATTTGCAGCATGCCTGAAGTTACGTAAGTATGGGATTACAGGGTTACACGCCCTTGAACCGAGGCTACTTCACCTGTGGCTTTGGTGGTTATATCGTGCTTTCTAAGTCCTTCAATCTCAGTCAACCAGTGGCTTGATGGCTCGCAAGTTCGTAGTGGCTTCTATTGCAACGCTCCGTTTCCTTCCGCCATGCTTCGTGTCTTCGGAGGCGTTTCGGGAGAAGAACTGCTTGCTGTAAGCACAGAGGAGTTGAGCGATGTCAAGACCTTGAAGTGTCGCTTGCGCGAGCTGCATGGCTTCCCGCTCTGCCTGCAGAAGCTAGTCAATGAGGGCGAGGTATTGGAAGACTCTTTGCAGCTGGAGGCAGGCCCCCCAGAAGGGGATGCTCTTGAGAACAGCTCTTACCTGGACCCCAAAAGCATGTAGAATAGTAGAATAGTAGCATTTTTTTTGGTTTCGGGCCCTTACTTTACTTGCTTTTGGGGGTCTACATATGTTCTCTCAGTCCTTTAGCCCCCAAAGTCATTTTCTTCCCTCTTTCATAGACCTCGTACCCCAGCCCTTTAGAAGGAGCCGAAGAGCCCTTGAGGCACCCTTTGAAGAATCCTGAACTTACCGTTGGTTAGGGAATGGAGGAATGGTAGTAGTAGTAGTAGTAGGTAGTATAGGTAGTATACGTAGTAGTAGTAGTAGTAGTAGTAGTAGTAGTAGTAGTAGTAGCTATAGTTGTGCCCCATTCCTCCAGTCCCTACTAACCAGAGGTAAGTGACAAGTAACCGTGAAGGAGCCGTAACGATCCCCAAGCGCACCGCTAAAGATCCCGTACGGAGCCGTAAGAGCCCAGGGTTTAGGGATTTCGGGTTCGGAGTCCCCAACGGAGCCCTAGAAGGAGCCATTGGACCCTGAACCCTAAACCCTAAACTCTATTCCCTACACCCTAAACCCTAAAAGGGGTCATTGGACCTGCAGCTGCTCGTCATAGCGTCCCTCACAGCGGAGAAAATGACCGAAGCCACTGCCGAATTGCGGGCTTCCTGGTAAGGACTACTTAAAGAGTTCAAGGTCCAGGGTTTCGAGTTTCGGGTCTAATTTGAAGGATCAGGGGAGTTATTGATTTCAGGGGTTCCGTACAAGGTTAGAAGGGCTTTGTGGTAGGGGCCAGAATCCTGCATGACGCTCCTGTAAGGATTCCCCAAAAATGTTCTATAAGAGGGTTTTGAAGGGTTTCATAAACCTAAGCAGTTCAGGGTTCAGGGTGTTTCTCTTTCGGGGTTCATCAAAGGATTAGGGGACTTACCTGTAGTCTCCATTGTAGTCCCTTTTGGGAGGTTGCTTTATAGCATCGTCAATATGCAACTGGTTAAATTAAAAAAGGAGCCACAATGGAGACTTTAGGCAGTATGTCAGATTAAAATCCCTCAGTTGGGGCTATAGGCTTTTAGCAGACATGACTATGGCGACCTTGTTAAGAATCTCACGCAGTCAGTTCCCGCAGCCTTTATATACATACCGCCTGAGGTTTAGTGGTTTTACTCTCGGTTGTCTTGAGACCCCAGCTGCTCGACGAAAGCTGGACAACTCAGGATTTTGCGGCTTCGACAGGCCAAGTGGATGTGGCACAGTTTCTGTTGAATGCCGGAGTTCGGGAAACCGCAGCGATGTCGGAATGTCTGATTCGTGCAGCTGAATTTGGACACACTGACGTTGCACTGTTGCTGCTGGATGGGGCCGACGGAGAGGCTAAACACACGGCTTTGGTTTACGCATGCATCGGCGGCCATGCAGAGACTGCAAGGAAGCTGCTGGAAGCCAGGAACTGCGACGATTCCGATCCTTCAGAGTTGTCTCATGCTCTGCTTGCCACAGCACGTCATGGTCACCTTGAGACAATGCCGTTGTTTCTAGAACACGATATCGATGTGAGTGAGCATTATGACAGTGCTCTTTTTGCTGCAGCAAGCCATGGCCACGGCGAGGTCGTACAGCTGCTCCTGAGTCATGGTGCCTGTAAGGATACTCTAGACACGAGAGGCTCAACAGGGGCCTTGACAGCCCTGATGTCCGCAGCTAGCCAGGGCTACTCCTCAGTCGTGCGAGTGCTGCTTGACGTTGCCGCCGACACCAGTGTGCAGGACAGCGTTACGGGTTGAGGGGTTCAGGGTTTGTGGGTTAGAATGTAGGGTTTGGGGTTTAATGTGCAGGACAGCTATGGCCGTACAGCCCTTCTCCTTGCGTCGGGTGCGAGCAAAACTGTAAAGTTATCGGACGGCCGGGCGGTTCTCGTTTCTCACCCAGGCACCACCGAGTGCGTGCGACTATTGCTAGAAGCTGGCGCTGACAAGGATGAAGGGGATGAGCAGGGGCGCACCGCGCTCATTGAGGCATCTTTGGGAAATCATGCGCAGATTGCCCAGTTGCTTCTGGAGGCAAGGGCCGACGTGCACGTGCAGGACAACTTTGGAAGAACGGCGCTTCTTTGTGCATCGAACTGCGGCTACATGGACATCGTGGACTTGCTTTTGGAGGCGGGTGCCGACGGAGAAAAACCTCGCCGTGCAGTCTCTTGAGCTTCTCGACTGAACCGAACCCCTTTTATCCTTACGACTGTAGGTTCCATGAGTCTACGGCTATAGTGGCCTGATTGATTACCAATACTATTGCGGGGGGTTTCCTTATTATAAGTATATAGTATAATGGGCCCCAAAATCCCTATTCAAATTATGAAGGCCTCTATAGTACATGCTAAGGAGTGCAGTTGACTGTTGGCTGAAGCTACTGCCGTCTGGGAGGAGGTGCGATGTGGGAACCTTGCGGCCACAGGTGCCGAAATTCCTTTTGGGGTGTGTACAGCTTTACCCATAGGCCCCAAAGTAGTTCCTTTTTGGGATTAAGTTATAGGATTCTATATACGAACCCCAAAAAGGAACCAGTGAGGCGCCTGAAGGTACACCCTTAGTGCATGCCCGAATTGGGCAGGGCAGTCGTGCGAGCGAAAGTCCATTGCACTTAAAACAGGGTTCCATGTACATATATAGTGTATATATAAGCCTTCAAGGGATTCCTATACAGGTACTCCAAGGCAGAAGTATATACTGATGGGGTGCATGGGCCCCGAGGGAATTAGTCTCAAGAAGGCCCTCAATCTTGCACACTCGGGCATCTCGCCGCGGGACTGATTTGCTTCTTCAGTTTACTGTCGCTCTCAGGGTACAAGTACCCTGTAAAGGGGTCTCATATTCCCTAGGTTGTCCTTTGGGATCTTTCTTTTACTTTCCCCTAATATTTTGTAGAGAACCATAATAGTGAATAATTTTCAAAGGGCTTAAAGGACCGCTCAGTTCCTCAATTCCATGCAAGAAGTCTGAATACAAAAGAGGATTGTTGCTGTATTTTCGAACGCCTTAAGACGACACCCTCAAACCCCGCAGCTGTAGAGATCGAAACCGTGGTTACCTGGAGAGCGGCGGCCCGGTATGGGAGTTTCCTAAAACAAGGGACCCGAATTAAGTAGCCCTAATTTTCGGACACGCCCATATCTACTCATCTCGAGGCTTCCTGCTATCATGGCTTCTTGGTAGGTCGGTAGTAGAGTTTTATGTGCTGCGAACCCAAAGTGGCTAGTTCAGGATATTCGTGCCGAAGCCAAAGCCCATCGCAAGCATACTATCCTGTGAAACTCTCCAAACCAAGACATCCTAGGTAAACGTCGCAAGAGAGACATAGTTAGCAGGCTTGCCCGTGGTGGACTTCGCCGACGAGGCACGCGCTCAGGTTTTGACCGAGACTGTGGAATGTAGTGCCTTTTTAGGGTTAATTACCGGTTTCTTGTTATTCTACGAGCCTAACCACAAGATATGCTTTCCAGAAGACAGGTTTGCAGTCTAAGGAGACCCTACACGCTAGGAAAGTTCCTAGTTGTTGAAGCAATTTTCGAAAACAGGGGACCCTAACATAGTACTTAAGCAGTAGGCTCCTTATTCTAAGGAGCCCAAAATAAGGCACACTGATGTTTTAAAAAAATCCTTCCATCCAGACTTCCAGCGCAGAGGATTGTCGGAACCCCACAGCCGTCAAGTTCCAAAAGGAATCCCTAAACCTAAGCTCTACCTACAGTTAGTATAGGGTTTAGGGGTTTAGGGTTTAGGGGTTTAGGGCCTTGAATCATCTCAGGGTTTAAGGGGGTAAACCCCATAAAGTTGGAAACCGGATTAAGGCCAAATAGTGCTGGGTTCCCGATACGTTTCTCTTAAGGATTGAGGCTATGGGGTTTCCAACTTTTGGGTTTTTACTGTAGACCCCCCGACTACCCTCTAACATAGCCCAAATACCCACTATGAAGGGCCATAAGGGCTCTATTAAAGGGCCCTTGGGGGGTTCCTAGTATATACCCCGAACTGAAAATCTTTCAAAGATGGTGACGCCGTTTTCAGGGCTTAGGGTCAACATCCAACCTGCCGCGTCTGGACATCTTCGGATTGAGGGTTTGACGTCTAGCTCTGCGACTCGAGCCCTGAGGCATGCATGACTTGCAAAAGCGGTATGATTTAGGGTTAACGGCTGCAGGGGCTTGTAAGTTTGATCACGGACTTAATGATCTCGAGTATAGGTGTTAAGTAAGATCGTTTGTACAGCAACCGGATGGGGAGTCTTGGCATCGTATTTATGACTTTAGTAAGGCCCCTCGTCCTGCGAATAGGGTTTAGCAACGAGCACTGTTGGCATCCGTTAATCAAAATGGCTCTCCGACAAATGCACCCTGATTTGCAGCACCCTAAACTCTAAACTGCAAACCCTAAACCCTGAACCCTTACCTAGACCCCCCACTACCCTCTAGTATACCCTAAATACCCACTATTAAAGGGCCGCAGGGGCTCCATTAAAGGGTACTTGGGGGGTCTTGGAAATGCCCTAAACCCTAACCCAGAGAGCCCAATACCCGTAATTATGGAATATTCCTGAAATCATAATATGAAGCCCTGTATAATTTAAGCCATATTCCTTGAATAAAGGGTATTGGGCTCTCTGGGAAAGCCTCAATTGCACAATCCCCCAAAACCCCCATCTTCCCGTAACATGGACGTCACGGTGCGCGAATCTTCGGCTGGCTACGGTTGGCCCTATAAGAACTTTTCGACTTGGAATCGTGGGGTTTAGGGTTTCAGAATGTGAATCCCGGTGGGTCCATATATACTACTACTACTGGTACTACCTATACTACCTACTACTACTACTGCTGCTGCTACTACTACTACTACTACTACTACTACTACTACTACTACTGCTATGGAATCAGGTCCCCCAAAAGCATTGTTAGGATGGTCCTTTGGGGCCTAATTCTGCAGTGGTAGTGTATATGGACCCTGTTGGTATGCTACACACACACACACACATATATATATATATATATATATAGAGATTCATATATATATATATATATATGTATGTATATATATATATATATATATACACACGTTGCATACCGATTGCATGCACAAATGTAGTTATGTACATATACAAGTAAACATATATGTATATGTGTGACTGTATATATATATATATATATATATATACAGCTATGCTTACAGTATGTACATATACGCATATACATATGGCGCAAGGCAAGCAAAGCCATCGAATATCTTGTTTTTTTGTTCGAGGTTGAGACGATGCGGCGCCTGCTGTCGGCCTTTGGCAGAACTTCGCGGAACTACCGAAGTGAGCTCCTTGGCATTGGAAGATCGAGCTCGATCCTAAACCCTTCAACCCCACACCTCAGATCCCCAATACCTAACCTTTAAACTTTTGGGTTCTTATAGTTTTAGTAGGAATCGGAAAGTTTAACCTTGTATTTCTGTGGCTTATTGGTGTAGTAAGATTGAGCTCGATCCTAAGCCCTTAAACCTTAAACGCCCCCACTGGCCCGTAAATGGACCCTCTATGGCCCTTAACAGTGGGTATTTTGAGGGTATATTAGAGGGCAGCTGGGGGGTCTAAGTAAGACCCTAAACCCTAAGCCCTAAACCCCCAGGGGCTTTCAAACAAAAAAAAAAACCTGAACCCAAAACCATATCGCCCGGTCTCTTTGAGTGCAAGGCTTAGAGCTGAGGAGCTTCGGGTTTGAGGGTTCGGTTCAGTCCCGGGATTGGGGTTTTAGGGTTTAGGGCTTAGGGTTTAGGGTTTCGGGGTTTAAGGGTTCAGGGCTTAGGGTTTAGGTTTGCCGGTTTTAGGGCCGGTTTTAGGGTTTAGGGCTTAGGGGTTCGGTTTGCGGGCTTTAGGCTTTAGGGCTTCGGGTTTAAGGTGTACGGTTGGGGTTTAAGGTGTAGGACTCCATCGAAGCGCATGAGATGCCTTTGTTACAAGCGCGTAGGGGCTTTTGTCATGTGTGTTCAGGCAAATTGCTGCTTGTGGCAGCTCCACAAGTACGCTGACTGAACCTGTAGTGCAGCTTTTGGTTGACATTTTGGAACAGGTCGCAACGCCCTTAAACGTGGCCCATTATGCAGACCCTAGACCCTAAACCCTAAACCCCTAAACCCTAAACCCCTAAACCCTAAACCCTAAACCCTAAACCCCTAAACCCTAAACCCTAAACCCTAAACCGTGCTGCTAAGGAATTGGTTTAGAGTTGAAGGATGTTGACGGGTTTTGTGTGAGATATGCGCCGTGCGCTTTCAACAAGTGTCTAGGGTTTAGGTTTTAGGGTTTAGGGTTTAGGGTTTAGGGTTTTAGGGCTGAGGGTTTAGAGTTCAATTTTTGTGGCAGGGCCTTTACCTACCAAGGGACCAAGAAACCCTGACAAACCCTCGGGAACGCGTATTAAAACTTTGGCACGAAAGCTTGTGTTGCTTTCGCATAAGCCTATGAGGACCCTTATTGACTTACACTTATAGGTTCTAGAATCTAGAAGCCCTGGAGAACGAGGGTTTAGGAGTTTGGGAATTAGGGTTTGGGGTTCAAGCCCTTGATGAGAAATTAGGGTGCTTACTTGGAGGTTCATGGGCAAATATAAGTGGAGCAACTCCTATTACAGACTCTTAGCCCCGCTTACAACTACCCATGAACCTCCATGCTTCGTTTGCAGGAAGACGCGACGTTGCATCGAGTTGCTCGAACGTGGTGCCCACGAAGAGAATCGGCCGGAGCTTTGCAAGAGCTGCAAGGACTGCGGGGATTTAATTGGGGAAGCTTCAGGTGGGGGCTTTGGGGGTTATATAAAGGTTATGATGCAGGCTTACAGGGATTTGTGGTTCTGGGTGTGCATTATGGCAAAGGGCTGCTCTAGGGCTGGTTACGATCGCAGTGTACAAGGATTAGGGGTTTCTGCTTTGGATTTTCTGTTTTTTCGTGACCCAGCGCTGAACGGATTTCATAATCATAAGGTGCCACAGGGCTTCTCAAAGCGAGTGGGCTTTGTAGTGCTGTTGTGTTGGCTTTAATTGTGTTGCTTTCTGGCCTTCGCGCATACTAAGTTACTAGATCCGTCCCCAAAAAACCCTGAAACCGCAAACCCTATAAACCCTAAACACTAGCATGAAAGCTTCAGAGCAAGCCGGTGCCCAATTGAGCTTGATGTTGCCCGCTCTTTGGGACAAGAGCTGCGGGCGCAAATCGTAAACTTTGATCTGTTACTGCACATGGCTGGGTTCTAGACTGTAGGGGCATTTCATGATTGCATCGTTTTTGTTGGCAGATTGTACCTATATGTGGACAGAAGTACGAAGTCTGCACATTCCCATTTTCCCAAAAGAGCCCGAGAATCTTTCCAGTGCCTGAGGCAAGACCACCAGACCTCTCTAGGTCACAGATTATGCTTCACAGACCCTTAAAAGGAGCCCTGTAGACCCTAAACCCTGAAAAGAGTGCAAGGAACCCTTACCTAGACTAGACCCCCAAAAGTAGGTAAAATAATGGATCCAAAACCTATAAAAAGGCGAATATTCTACATACCTTTGGTGTCTATGTAAGCGCCCTCAACCAGGCCTTGAAGAGAACCCAGAAGTTCTTAGCACTAGATCCTGCACTGTGCTTAAAGGATCATGGGACTTGTATAGTGAGTAAGGTTATAAGTACCTTAACTGGGGTTATAAATAGTTATAAGTATAGCTACCCTTGCCCTAGTTATAGCCCTAGTTACTAAGTCCCATGATCCTTTAAGTAGGCCTTAAAGTGCTGATGTAGGAACCCCTTTAAGGCCTTGTGCCTCCAGAAACCCATACAATCGAGGAGGCTAGCCTCCTAAAGCCTTTTTTCACGGGCTTTGCGGGTTAGGGTTTGGGGTGTATGGTTTTGGGGTTTGGGGTTTCGGATGTGGGATTTAGGGTTTATGGTTTAGGGTTTGGGGTTTAGGGCTTATGGTTTAGAGTTTGGGGTTTAGGGTCTGGGGGGGCCCATCGAGCCCCTTCTGCGAAGGCTTTCTTCAGCTGTCGACAATCCGAGGCCGGATGCTGACTAAAACTCCCGAAGAACTTAGATAGCCAATGGGGGAACTTTAAACTTTTTGGCCTTATATATTTGGTCTATCTTAGAAAGTTTAAACTTTTCTGGGCCCGGTTGTTGAAGGAGAGAGAGAATGACCCCTACTATTGTAAATGGTAGTTGTTAGAACTACCCATAGGCCATGGGCCCCATAGTAGTTCCGTTTTGGTGTTCACATCTAGAAGCCCATATCTGAACTCCAGCAGGGAACTACGATGTGTACTGTATGAGATGCCCCAAGATCCTCATTTAATGGTCCTCTGTATTGGAACCTGCACCCACAACCCAAAACGCTTCTATAGGGGCCCAAATAATTTCAAATAATATGTGTGTGTTTTTTTTGGGGGGGGCTTCCTTATTATTGCTATAATATAATGGGACCCCAAAACCCTTGTCTAATTATTAAGGCCCCTAGATCAAGCTGTAAACCTCAGAAGCCCTACGCCCTCCGACCCGCGCATTTTTCGCAGAATGCAACCCGGCTCGTCCGGGCAACGCTGACGTCTTGCCAACTGTGCCATGGCTTTTGGTTTGGGGGCTTAGGGGTTGGGGTTTAGGCTTTAGGGTTTAGGGGGCTTTGTAGGGCTTGTAGGCCCGTAGGCAGCTATGTTTAGGGGTTGGGGTTTAGGGGGCTTTGCAGGGCTTCTATGCAGTCTTGCAGTTCCTTTCTGGGGTTGGTGGGCTCAAAATAATTCAGGATGGGGTTTTGGAGGGTTTTCGAGCTTGGGACTTAGTGGTTAGGGTTCAATATGGTTCCACCATAGATAAAGTGTAGTTGAAGTTCAAGTTTCGAGGTTCTGAGGGGGGCCCTGTGGCGCACACGTTTTCGAAGGGTTTTTCGGCCTCGAATATGAGTCCATCAAATCTGTCAAAATGAAGGTCGAGACAAGGTCCAGGATATTCGGGAGGCTTTCCCACATGGGGGTCTCTGCTAAAAGAGCAAAAAAAACTGGCGAGGGCCAGGTGAGCCCATGTCGTGCATGAGGGGGTTTTGGAGTTAAGCCGTGCACAAATTCCGAACCGTCAGCCACACCTCTCGACACCATAACTCTGCATAGCTCAAGAAGTCCTGTTTGGATCTGGTGGAGATACCTTCCAGAAAATTGCTCCGCTCTTGCACTATCTGTTCCGGCGCCAACCAGAGCGACAGCAAAAAGTGCAGTTCGGAGTGTTCTTTTGAGGGAGCAACCAGCCAGTCTAGCAACAGTAAATGCAACCAGAAGCAAGACAGAGGGAAGGAATGTTGCAAATGGAGTCTCTGCTAAAAGAGCAAAAAAACTGGCGAGAGCCACGTGAGCCCATGTCGTGCATGAGGGAGTTTTGGAGTTAAGCACCGTGCACAAATTCCGAACCGTCAGCCACTCGACACCATAACTCTGCATAGCTCAAGAAGTCCTGTTTAGATGTGGTGGAGATACCTTCCAGAAAATTCTGCCGCTCTTGTACGATCTGTTCCGACGTCACCCAGTGCTGTCGCTGCGACAGCAAAAAGTGCAGTTCGGACTGTTCTTTGTTCAGCTTTTGTCCGATTTGACGGGCCCATTTCCGAGACCGAAAAACCCGTCGAAAACTTCTGCACCATAAGGGGCCTCCCCTGTTGGCGCTGCGCTTGATAAGGTTTCAACTCGATTGTTTGAAACGAATACGTGTTCAAGACAAGCATTAACTGGCTACACTTTGGAGCTCTCCGGCTGCATGTTGCTGAAGAAATGGTCGCTCCGCGCCCAGATTGTGCGATTCCAAGAATGAGCTCGAAACTGGTTCGCCAGCACCAAAATGCAGGCCCAAAAATGCGACCGTTTTCTGAGCCCTCGGGAAATATGCCAATAGTCAGAGGCACGAAAAACGGGTCCGAATTCCAGACCCATTTTTGAGCCCGCTTCTCACTCTTTTTTTGAATTCTCAACTCCAAAAAAATGATCACCGTTTCTCTTTTTTTGCTTACGCAGCCACTCCATCCCACAGCACAGCTGAATCAGCTGTTGCAGATTCATGGACAACGACAGCAACAATGTTCTGTGGCTTTGTGGCTTAAGCTATGAAATCGAACAAATGCAAGAAAAGATACTCCCGCAACTGAGGGGGCCCCTGTGGCGCACACGTTTTCGAAGGGTTTTTCGGCCTCGAATATGAGTCCATCAAATCTGTCAAAATGAAGGTCGAGACAAGGTCCAGGATATTCGGGAGGCTTTCCCACATGGGGGTCTCTGCTAAAAGAGCAAAAAAAACTGGCGAGGGCCAGGTGAGCCCATGTCGTGCATGAGGGGGTTTTGGAGTTAAGCCGTGCACAAATTCCGAACCGTCAGCCACACCTCTCGACACCATAACTCTGCATAGCTCAAGAAGTCCTGTTTGGATCTGGTGGAGATACCTTCCAGAAAATTGCTCCGCTCTTGCACTATCTGTTCCGGCGCCAACCAGAGCGACAGCAAAAAGTGCAGTTCGGAGTGTTCTTTTGAGGGAGCAACCATCCAGTCTAGCAACAGTAAATGCAACCAGAAGCAAGGCAGAGGGAAGGAATGTTGCAAATGGAGTCTCTGCTAAAAAAGCAAAAAAAAACTGGCGAGAGCCACGTGAGCCCATGTCGTGCATGAGGGAGTTTTGGAGTTAAGCACCGTGCACAAATTCCGAACCGTCAGCCACTCGACACCATAACTCTGCATAGCTCAAGAAGTCCTGTTTAGATGTGGTGGAGATACCTTCCAGAAAATTCTGCCGCTCTTGTACGATCTGTTCCGACGTCACCCAGTGCTGTCGCTGCGACAGCAAAAAGTGCAGTTCGGACTGTTCTTTGTTCAGCTTTTGTCCGATTTGACGGGCCCATTTTCGAGACCGAAAAACCCGTCGAAAACTTGTGCACCATAAGGGGCCTCCCCTGTTGTTGAAATGAGGGAGTTGGTGTGGAGACAGGGCTGTGGGTTATTGAAAAGTATAAGGGTTTGCAAGTAGGCAATGCAGAATTACCTGACCCTGAAGCCGCTAGTTTTGCGAGGGCCTAGATCTGAAACGCTACTACCCTTGCTCGCTGCCACTCTCTATGTAAACCGGCGATCTGCAGCCCTGAGCCCCAAACCCTGGACCGTACGGCCCCAATGAATACGGAATGCTCTCAGTTGTCACAATTCATTTTCATTTTTAGCCGATCCGAAAGCAGTAAACCCTAAACTCTGAAACCTTACACGACTGATTACAAAACAGTAGCCTGCCGAGTCTTGACTCCGCTGCTCCTGTTTAAGACTCAAAATCTCAGTTGCTGGGGTTTGGGGATTTTGTTTTTGAACTATCATCGTCGTCACGAGCCGATACAGTACAGGATCTTGTTGCCCGGTAATGCTTTCGACACGTATTGCCGAATGCTGTATCAATCCTGCCACATTTTTGCCAGTGGACATATGTATGCCTCTGAAGTTGCAAAGGCTGTATTATTATATTCGTCCATTCCGCATAGGCTCGACCCGTAGCTACGCCAGCATGGGCTCATAGCCTGCGAAATGTGTTCCCGAAGGCCCCAAAGATACTCAGGTTGCCACATCGAATATACTAAGAAGTTTACTTTGGGTCCAAAGTATGTGCATATATTTAGGGTTTAGGCTTTAGGGTTTAGGGTTGTAGTATTCGTATACATGGCCCCTTACGGTTTCGATGCTCTGCTGACTCAACGTATGCTCAAAGCCTCCCTGGAAGCCCGTAATAGAAGTGGTCAGAGTCGAGGTTCGCCAGTCAAGTTGCAGCTGGAAGTCCAACCCCCGAAATGGCAAGAGCTAGATCAGTTGAACCGAAAACTGTTGAAATCCGGTATCTGTATAGCCCTACGATACCCGTGTAGACATCCCACAACCCTAAACCCTGAACCCCCTAGAACTTTCGATAAGCGAGGTTGCAAGAACAGCTGGCACTGCAGCCTTGCTGGGCGGTGAGGCTCTGGTTCGGGGTTTAGGGTTTAGGGTTTAGGGTGGCTCTGGTTCGGGGTCTGTGGTTTAGGAGTTTACGGTTTAAGGTTTAGGATTTCGATAGCGTCTTAATGATTACAAAGGTATTGCGGTCCCTGTATGGCATCGGCCACGAGGGAAGACTATTTGTAGAAATGCAGTTTTCTGTTGTATCTACCGAGCTGTAGGTAATTATTCGGCCCACTATATTGCAGCACCAAACGCATTGACACCATAAGCAAACAACCAAGCAAAACCCTTGTTTCAACTCCTCAAGCCCTAAAATTCAAGCCCCAATTCTTTTCCTACACCCTAAACCCCAAACCACTAAACCCCAAACCCTAAACCTCTAAACCCTAAACCCTAAAGCCTAAAACCTCGAAAAAAAAACCTCTAAACCACAAGCCCCTAAACCCTATAGATCCCTTGAAGGAAATCCTAAAGTGTCCTTTGAAGGAACGCTAAACCAAAAGTGCACCAGGATTCTCGACTTGGGTTCGTTGCGCTGCCTGGATCCACGCACTCTCAAGGCTCGGGGTAAGGGTTTAGGGTTTAGGGGTTCGTTCGGTTCAGGGCGTACCTGGATTCTACAAAACCTTCCTTCGAGAGTTCCCTACCTATGATTTCCTGAAAAACGTCCTTAAAAAGGTAATTAGGTTGTTTGGTGTCTACGGACAGGGCTTTAAGGTTTTTTGGTGCAGTTTTGGGTTTTAGGATCGTGTGTTTCGAGTTTTCGGGCTCAGGGCTTGGGGCTTTGGGGGTTCAGGGCTGTTTGGGGTTTAGGGCTTAGGCTTTCAGATTTGTGTTTTGCGGTTTGGTGTTTAGGGTTCAGGGGGCAGTGCTGCAAGGGTTTAAGGGTTCAGTGTTTATGGCCTACCTGGACCCCAAAAGTATGCAGAATAATAGCCTTTTATAGGTTTTGGGCCATTGTTTTACCTACTTTTGAGGGTCTAGGTAGTGTTGTTAAGTTAGGGTTTGGGGCTGCGGGCGTGGGCTGAGGGTTTCGGGCCCGAGGTTTAGGGTCTAGGATCTTAGGGCGCAGGGCTTACCTTATCCCTGAATAACCTACCTTCTTAGGGCTCCTTATTATGATTCCCTTATAGAAGTCCTTAAAAAGGTAGGTTATTCAGGGTTGCGGTAGGGGTTGAAGGTTCAGGATCTGGGGTTCTGGGTTTGGCGGCTTTTGGAGTTCAGGGTTCAGGACTTTGGGGTGTCCTACAGTCTCCATTGTAGTTCCGCTTTGGGCTACCTTATCGGATCCTTAAGTACATTTGTGTTCAAACCTTTAAAGAGGAATGCAGACTGTAGGTATCACAGATGCCCATAAAGCACTTGGACCCTGAACCGCTGGCCTCACGCTGGAAATAGACCTAAAGTTTTTTGAGCTTTGAGCCCGAAGTTAGCAGTAAGCCGCAAGCCCTTGGACGAACATGTCATATCTTAAACCTCCCCTAGATCCTTAATTAACCCAAACCCCAAACCTTGAAATCCTAAACCATGGCACCCTAAGGCGGTGAACCCTAACCTCGGACTCCCTGCTTGGAGGTTCTTGGGTAGTTATATGTGGGGTTGTAAGCAGGGTAACTATGGTTATTCTCAAGCCCTATTAGGGGACTTATCGCCCTAATTATAACTACCCTAAACCCTAAACCCCTATACCCTTATAGAATCCCTATAGATCCCTTTAAAGGGGCCCTTAAAGGAACCCTTATAACTACCCATGAACCTCCAAGTGAGAAGCCCAGATCTTGGTTTCGACGTTCCCAGAACTTCGAGTTCTTCGAGTTCAGCCCCGCGGCTTCGAGCATCCACTGGGTACTTCCGTGGCCCTACGTAGGGTTGAGGCTTTAGGGTTTAGGGCTTAGGGTTTGGGGGTTTAGGGGTTTAGGGTTTAGGGTTCAGAGTTTAGGGGTATAGGGTTAGAGGGTTTGGGGGTATAGGGGTATAGATTTAGGATTCAGGATTCGGGGTTCAGGAGCTTGGTGTCTTCTATACCCTAGACCTGTTCTCGGTTTGCGGATTATCGTTTTTTGGGTTTCGGGGGAGTCGAGGGGCTGGGGAGATATTTACTTGGAGGTTCATGGGTAGTTATAAGTGGGTTATAAGTAGGGTAACTATTATTATGAGCCCTATTCGGTGACTTATAACCCGAGTTATAGCTACCCATGAACGTCCAAGTAGGGTTTTAGGGCTTCCAGAAGCTGAGCTTCTTTTCTCCTGCGCCCCTTCACCAAGTGTGAAAACCCTACGTCCAGAAGCAGCGCACCCTGGCTTGAATGTTCGGGGGTTTCGGAAATTAGGGGACCCTAATATAGTACCCTAAATAGTAGGAGCCTTTAAAGAGTTCCTTAAAGGGATCTGTAAGGGTTCTATAAAGGGTTTAGGGTTTCCGACAATAGGGGATCCTATTATAGTACCCTAAACAGTAGGATCCTTTTGTAAGGACCCTAATATATGAAGGTACCCCTAATTTTGGAAACTCCCATCTGTAAACTTGAACTTCAGGGACCCACACCCTTTTTTGCGGCTTGTTTATAGGCTCATATTCAAGGACTTCAAGAATATCGGGGTGTTCACGATCCGCAGGTTTAGGCTTCAAACGGGCCTGTATCGCGCAGCAAGTGTTGTAAGGGAAGCAAATCTAGATTTGTCAGAAATGACGGTGATCAGGCTGCTTTAATATAGGGGTCTTAATGATTAGAGGAGGGTCTTGGGGGATACTCTACTAAAATTAAAATGGCTATGGAACCCCAAAACCCTATTCTAACAAGGCCCCTACATTACCCGTGACAGCATCATCCTGAGTTTTGGGGTTTGCAATGCTGAGACCCGCATCCTCAACTGGGTTTAGTGTCACGTGCCGAGGTTACAAGCCTTCAGCTGTAAACCTCCAGAAATGATATTGGGGGTCTGACATGTGATTGACCCGAAAGCACGATTCTAGACATGCCGAAGGGTTCTTGGAGTTGTCAGGAGGGTTTCGGGCTTGGGATTTAGGGTCCAGAGCGTTCAGGGTTTCGGGCTTAGGGTAGAAAACCCGCGAACAAGATTGTTCATGGTGTTCTACCGTGTGTGTTCCATCGTGGGTCAACCCCAGCCGCCTAGACCCAACCCTAAGGGTCCAAGTGCCCAATGATCAGAATATTGCACTTCCATACACGAACGTACAGTGTTACTGCTCGTCAACCCAAAGGGTCCAAGTATCATTATGGTATATACTTATAGGGTATTTTGGGGGTCTATTTATGTACCATACCCTTTGGGCAAAACTCAATCATCGAACTATCGGATCCCCAATGCCCAGACGGCCTGGCTCTTGGGCTCAGTGAACGGAGTTTCTCTACAGCTCTGTTTTTTCTAAGTGTGAGTTTCCGAAAATTGGGGGGTGCCTTATTTAGGGCTCCTTTAATAAGGATCCTACTATTTAGGGTGCCGTATGAGGGTCCCGTATTTTCAGAAACTCCCAAGTTGGTTGCATTCATGGTCATGGCTTGCCCTACGAGTATCCCCAAGACATACAGAAGCCCTTTAACCTTTAAGCCCTTAGTGGGGTCTTTAAACGGGCTCTTAAGAGTTCGAATAAGGGTACCTTCAAGTGATCTCTATAAGGGCTCTTGCAAAGGCACCCTGCCCCGAAACCATCCTTGAAAGGAGCCCTTTGAAAAGCCCTTTATAAAGGAACTCTGCCCTTTTTGAAGGAACCCAAACCCCTAAACCCCTAAACCCCAAAACCCCCCAAACCCCTAAACCCCTTAACCCCTAAACCCCTTAACCCCTAAACCCCTAAGCCCCTAAACCCTAAACCCTAAAACCCCTAAACCCCTAAACCCTAAACCCCTAAACCCCCACACTGTGCAAGGCACGAGAGCTACGAGGAGCTTCCAACTTCTGCTGATGCCGAGCGAACCTTTTGGCCGACGTTGCTGGGTCCTATATGGGTTTAGGGTTTAGGGCTGAAGGTTAGGGTTTAAGGTTTAGGGTTTAGGGCTTAAGGTTATTTTCGGAATCCCCCAAATAGCCCAGAACAGGTACTATGCTAGGATGCCCAGTAGTACCCTTATTCCCTTTTTGTAGTCCTAGGTTCCTGAATAAGGTACCCAATACCAAAAAGGGAGTCCTTTTTATTCCTAGGTTACTGGGCATCCTAGGATAGAATGGTACCTATTGTATCCCTTGTAGTTCCTTTTTTGGGTTAACCGCTAACCAGTCTTATTTGTAGGATCCCATAATATGAATTTAGTTAACCAACTAACAAAAGGAACTGCAATGGAGACTTTATGTAGCTCTCAAAATCAGCATCCCTTTTAGGGTCTTCTTACACAGACACTGTAGTATGTTGGGGACCTATAAGTGGACCTGATTGTAGTTACAGAACTACCCAACAAGAGGCTTATGCTAAGTTTATGGGTTTGTCGGGGTTTCTGGTTTAGGGTTTAGGGTGGTTTGGGGATTTATTTAGGGTAGACGTAAAGGAATCGTACCCACGGGCCTATGAGGTTTCAAGGTTAAAAGGGGACCATGGTGGTACCACACGATTTTTTGGTCGATGCGAAGCCTGGGATGCTCAATATTGAGACCCTATCCATAACAATGCGAAATCTTGCAACCTTAGTGAACCTGAAACTTTTTTTACCCTTTAATCTCTGAAACCCTACACCCTGAAAGAGCCCTTCAAACAACCTTCTAAGCGAACTTTCTCTATCAAACGCTAAACCCTAAACCCTAAAACCCTAAAGCCCTAAACCTGAAACCCTAAACCCTAAAACCCTAAACCCTAAAATCCGAAATCCGAAACCCTAAAATCCGAAATCGGAAACCTTAAAATCCGAAATCCGAAACTCTAAAATCCGAAATCCGAAGCCCTAAAACCCGAAATCCGAAACCCTAAACCCGTAAAGCCCTAAGCCGAAAGCAGCCTAGAGTCCCTAAGGCTCCGTGTACCTTCAAAGTATATAGCAGTTTCCTAAACCCTAAAACCCAAAATCCTAATTCCCGAAATCCGAAACCCTAAAATCCGAAATCCCAAAGTCCGAAAGCCCTAAGCCAAAAGCAACCTAAACTAAGGCTCCCTAAAATCCTTAGTAGCTGAGTGGATACACTTTACGCTCTTTGGGATAATATTACCCACTATAAAGCCAAAAGTGTACACTTTTGGGGGGGGCTTTTGAACTCAGCAACTAAGAATCCGAAACCCCAAAACCCTAAACCCTAAAATCCGAAACCATAAAACCCTAAACCCTAAAACCCTAAAATCCGAAACCATAAAACCCTAAACCCTAAAATCCGAAACCCTAAAACCCTAAAATCCGAAACCCTAAAACCCCAAAATCCGAAATCCTGAACCTTAAACTCCGAAACCCTAAACTGTAAAACCCCAAAATCCGAAACCCTAAAGCCCTAAAGCCCTAAAACCCTAAAACCCTAAACCCTAAAGCCCTAAAACCCTAAAATCCGAAACCCTAAAACCCTAGACCCTAAAACCCCAAAATCCGAAACCCCAAAACCCTAAAATCCGAAACCCTAAAACCCCAAAATCCGAAATCCGAAACCCTAAATCACTAAAGTCCGAAACCAAGGCTTCAGGGCCTGGAAATTCAATTCGCCACGCCTTTGCCTCCGGCGTGGCTCTGCGAGCTGCGGGGACACCAGGCGGAGTTGAATCTAGGGGCCTTTATACTTACCTATACTAGTTTGGGGGGTTCCTTGAAAGGGTTCCTTAAAGGGGCCTAGAAGGGATCTGTAGTATATGGTGTTCTATGATACTAGGGGCCGAAATACTTACCTATACTAGTTTTTTTTTTTTTTGCGGTGGGATCCTTACTATATTTATAGTATAGTGGGCCCCAAAACTCTATTCTAATGTTTATGGCCGCTCTATCAGACAAGTCTTGCCTAAGGGCCCTTGTTATTGTGGCTAGGTTTCGGGTAGAAGGGTTCTATAACCCTAGGCTTCCAGGGACCTTATTATTGGGTCCTTAAGGGGTCTAGGGCCCTAACTTTCAGGTCCTTGGAAGCACAGGGTAAGGCTTTCATGGTAACCTTTGGGAACCCTGACGTTACAAGGATTTGGGGCTCTGGGGCACACGGTATGAATGATTCGAGGGCCTATGGTTTCAAGGCACAGCTTAGGTTTAGCTTTGGGTTTTATCCATCAGGGTTCTAGACTCACGTAGGCTCCCATAAATGTATGTATACACGTACTGTTACTTAAGTTACTTAAGCGTATCCATATCGGATAGTAACATTCAGTGAAACCTATTGCGTAAAGGCGGACAGTGTCTGTCCAAGTGGTTTTCACTAGGCTGAGAGAGCAAGGTGATTGCTTTCCAAGTGGATCCAGGGTTTACTTAGATTCTGGAATACAGTACCTTTTGTTGCTGGTTATCTTATCTTCTTTCATGGGGCCCTAACCACTAACCATAGAGTAGATTATCCAAATAGGTACTACATCTTAGATTCTATGTACGATTGTAGCAGGAGGTGTTGGCTTTCAGACGTTTAACCAGCATAGCATCGACTCTGCCAATTGCACTTTCTTTTGAATCACTGTCTGGCAGAATCTCTGAAACACTTGCATCGCACCATGACATACAACTGACTTAGGAATATTGGACATGCTACTGTTGATGGACGAATTCCTGCGTGACCCTAAGGACTCTAAACTATGGGAACTATGGTAAATTCCTTCTACAGGGAACTCCAGAAAGTTGGAATATGGTTTCATGGTAGGATACCCTATAATTTACCATAGAAGGGTTAGGATAATCATATTCCAACTTTCTGGCTTTTACCTTAATGGGTAATGCAGGATTTATATCATCAACCGTACGTCTCCTTGCACAGACTGTGCAAGGAGACATCCAGCCACCTACTTTTAAGCATAGGCCCTCGGTAGGGATGGTGTGAAGAGTTTGCTTACGATTAACCAGTTGAGGTCTGGGTCTTTGTGGTAACATCGGAGGTAGGTCATCGAGTCTATAGGTTGATGGTGCAAAAGATGCATAGGGGGCATCGCTTTTTTGTTATTTCCAGTCCTCAGTATCCCACAATTGTCATGGTTTGAACCGTTTTCTAGCGCACCTGGGGGAGGGAAACCAACGCTACATTGGTGTTTGTCTCCATGATAAAGTTGGCTACGGCTACATATTCAGACATCTGAACTCTGAAAGTCAGAGTTCATTCACGTAAAGCTTGGGACACTGCTTTTCTGCGGACGTGTCGTTTTCGGTCGCAGACTGTTCTTTGAGTCACAATTCTGAGCACTTTGTCAAGGTGCTGAGTGTGTCACCAATTGCTCTAATTAACCTCACGACTACAGGAACCCGGTTGGTTATTCCAGAGCAAAAGTCCGAACATCCAGTGACCATAGCCTCCTCGAGTCTATATAATGTTTCTGTCTTTAGCCCGTCACACCGTGCAGTCCTGAGAACATGTCATGCGATGTGCAGCCGGCTCAACATGACTTGCTTGATTTAGACACTTTCTGCTGCCTATACAACAACGTTTCCAAGGGGGCATGATGTTGTATAACAGAGGAGGTTGTCATAACAGTGCTACATCATCGCCACAAAGCATCTAGGGGTCGGAACGATGCCCAATATATTTCCTTAAGGCTCCTTACTATGACTAGATGACTAGAGTACAATATTCAAGGCCCTTTGATTAGAAAACAATAATAAGCTCCTGACAGAATCCTTAAAAAGAACCTTAGAAGCGAACCCCCCCAGCAGTGGAATTCCGTGCCCTAAACTCTAATCCGGGCTTTTGCCCGAGGCCGCCATCCCTAAACCCAAAACCCTAAACCCTATAAACCCCTAAGCCCTAAACCCTTAAACCCTAAACCCAAAACCCTTAAACCCTAAACCCAAAACCCTTAAACCTTAAACCCTTAAACCGTAAAGCCTAAACCCCTAAACCCCTGAGCCCTAAACCCTTAAACCTTAATCCCAAAACCCTAAACCCTAAGCCAAAAGCAGCCTAGAGTCCCTTAGGCTCCGTGTCCCTTTATAGCAGAATATGGCAGTTTCCGAAAATTGGGGGTACCTTATAGGGTTCGTTTAAAGGGATACTATAAGGGTACTGTAAAAGGTTCCTATAAAAGGGCTCCGCAAGGGTTTCGGGTTTTGGGATCCTTATAATAAGGATCCTACTATTTAGGGTAGGTCCCCCTATGTTCGGAACCTCCCTGATACATAGCTAGGCCGACTTGTATCTCTGAAGGGGTTTGTGTAGATTCAAAGGGGGAAAGGAGGGACCCTTAATGGGGACCCCTACCCTATAATGGGCATTATAATTGGCTATATAATGGGCCACATAATAGCTATATTAAGTGTATATACCTCAGCCTTTTTGATAGATAGTCTAAAGGTACGTGGAACCTTGTGGTAAGAGTAGCCTACAGTAGTCCGTAGTCCTGCCCTTGACTTGAACAACCCTGCAACCCACAAGCCCTGCTTGCCCCATTGCCCTAAAACCCTAAAACCCTAAATCCCCAAACCCTAAACCCTAAAACCCTGAATCCTAAAACCCTAAACCCTAAACCTTAAACTCTATAAGCCCTAAACCATATAATATAAGCCCTATACCCTCAACCCTAAACCCGGACCAAAGGACTCCGCCGCCTGGATATCTCTGCCACCGACCGCGGTGCGATGATTGCGCTACCGACCTGCTTGGGCAACCTGACGCGTCGTCTGAAATGGGAGTTTTTGAAAACTAGGGGTATCTTTAAAGGGATTCCTTCAAGGGGCATATAGGATTCTATAAACGGTTTATAGGGTTTAGGGTTTAGGGTTTTGATAAATGGGAGTTTCCGAAAATTAGGGGTACCTTATAGGGTTCCTTTAAAGGGTTACGATAAGGGTACTATAAATCTATAAAGGTTCCTTTAAAAGGGCTCTATAAGGGTTCAGGGTTTCCGAAAATAGGGGTACCTTTAAAGGTATCCTTTAGGGGTTCCTTAAAGGAATCTATAAGGGTTCTATAAAGGGTTTAGGGTTTAGGGTTTTGATAAATGGGAGTTTCCGAAAATAAATAGGGGTACCTTCAAAGGGATCCTTTAAAGGGTTACTATAAGGGTATTATAAATCTATAAAGGTTCCTTTAAAGGGCTCTATAAGGGTTCAGGGTTTAGGGGTTTAGGGTACCTTTAAAGGGATCCTGTAGGGTTCCTCAAAGGAATCTATAAGGGTTCTATAAAGGGTTTAGGGAGTTTCCGAAAATGAGGGGTACCTTTCAAGGGATCCTTTAGGGGTTCCTTCAAGGGGCTTACAGGGTTCTATAAAGGGTGTATAGGGTTTAGGGAGTTTCCGAAAATTAGGGGTACCTTTAAAGGGATCCTTTAGGGTTCCTTAAAGGGATCTATAAGGGTTCTACAAGGTTTAGAATTTAGGGAGTTTCCTCCAACCTGGGGAGGTACCTTATTTTGCGGTCTTTTTTATAAGGGTCCCATTACTTAGGATACTATTTTAGGGTCCCCTATTTTCGGAAACCCACAAATGCCTGAGTATACCGATAGCATTCCTTGTAGATCTGTTTTTGATTAACCAAGTTTATATTGTGGGATCCAAACCAAAAAAACAAGCCCAATAAAGGAACTACGGTGGAGACTGCGGGTGTTTTTTTTTTAATTGTGGGCATGTTATAAGGATTCTAAGGGGTTCTAAAAGGGTTTCGAGGTTTAAGGTTTAGGATAATCGGATAATTAGGCATGCGATGAGGGTTCTAAAAGGTTCTAAAAGACATGGGTTTAGAAGGTTTAGGATAAATGATATCGGGGCATCTGGTTTTCGGGATATCAGGCCATTTGTATTATGCGGTTTGAGGGCTTAAGCAGCCCTAAACCCTAAACCCTGTTTCAGGGCTGCATTGGGTGCACGGCGACCGGGATGTGCAAGGTTCCTCGAAAGTTTGGGATGATTCTTAGCCCCGTGATCCTAAACCCTCAACCCCAAAACCTCCCAAATCCATGGAAGTGGAACCGTAAGGACCGAGCTGATCCATCTCAACGTGGTGAGAAACAACCTGAGAGGCAACAAAGTGTTGACGGGTTCAGGGTTACTAAGTAGATGAGATGTGTGTTTCGGGTTCAAGATTTAGGCTTTACCTGGACCCGAAAAGTATGTAGATTAATGGCCTTTTATAAGGTTTGGGCCATTATTTTACCTACTTTCGGGGTTTGAGGTAGGGCTTATTACTGGGTTCAGGGTTCGGGGTTTAGGCTTCATGGTCTGGGGTTTAAGGATCTCACATATAGGGCCAGCATAGGGTTTTCAGAGGAAGGTTCCAGTAGGGTGACATAAAGGGGTGCATAATGTCTCTGTGGGCTTTGAGACGGGCTCAGTGGCTGGGTTTAAGATTCAGGGTTTTCGAGTTTGCAACTGTTTGGCTTATGGTAAACTCAACCCCAAACCCTAAACCCTAAACAGTACCCCTATAGATCCCCCATAGTATCCCATTATAGGAACCCTCAATATAGGATCCTTAAACGACTCCTAAACCCTAAATCCTTAGATCCCTGAAAGGAACCCGTATAGCACCCTTTAAAGGAACCCAACCCTAGACCCTTAGATCCCTGAAAGGAACCCCTATAGCACCCTTTAAAGGAACCCCCAAAACTCGCCACGGCCCAGTGCCTAAAACCTAAATCCTTAGATCCCTTAAAGGAACCCCTATAGTACTCTTTAAAGGAACCCCCAAAACTCGCCACGGCCCAGTGCCAGGCGTTTCGTCCCTGCCTTCGTCTCTTCACTTGCTCTCGGAGCTCCGCAGCTTTGAGGCTTTCGAGATCCCAAGCAGCGCTAAAACCACGGGTTTAGGGGGGTGGGCTTCCTTTAAGGGATCCTATGCAGGGATCATAAGGGGTATACTAATTATAAGGGATCCATAAGGGTTCTGCAAGGAGTTTAGGGTTTAGGGCTTGGGTATAGGGTTTATGGTTTAGGGCTTATAGGGCTTATAATGGGGCTTATAGGACGTTAACCACGGCTTACTCTCGCTACTTGTTTCTGCCTCTCAGGGCTTTAGAGTTTGTAGTTTTGCAGGGTTGATGGTTTAAAGGGTTTAGGGCACCTACTGTCAGAGTTGTGGAGTTTCAGTTTAGGTTCTGGCCGTAGGGTGCGCAGTAGGATGCAGGGTTTAGGAATGTTGTTCGGGGTGATGCTGAAGACCTTCCTTCACAGGGGCTGGATGCTGCTTTTTTGGACTCATACTGTGCTGGCATGTTTTGAAGTTTATTGCTTAGGTATGGCCCCCACTCAGTAATAGTTGAACAATATTCATAATATAGATATAGTAGGACCTTAATAGTAGCCCTCTTATAGACTCTTAGTATGGGGGCCGTACCTAATTTATTGCTTTGGAGATTTGAAGTTGAAGGGTGTATTTTCAGGAGCTTCGGGTTTAGGGGTCAGTCCAACTCCAGATCAGTGTAGCGTTTTAGTGTTTATAGGGTTTAGGTTTGGGGTTTAGGTGTTCTGGATTCGGTATTTAAAAGGCAGTAGTTGCAGCATTGTGCTTTTTTGGTTGGGGTCAGGGGGCATCTCACCGATTGCCCAGGAATGGCGCTACTGGGGAGATGTGTGATGCTCAGGTGTGGCCGCTACAGTGTCAGGCCTAAGCTCCCAAAGCATAAACAGCGAAGCCCTTAAACCCCGAGCACTGAACCCCTAAACCCGAACCACTGAGGCCCTAAACCCCAAACACTAAGCCCTAAACCCACAAACCCCTAAAGCCACGTGCCAGAGTCATGTACCTAAGAGTCCCAGTCATGACTGACTTGCTATATATCCTATGCTGTTCCAAGCAACCGGCTTAGGGCATGATTTAGCTTGATGTGATTGATCAAAACCATTCCTTCACAAGTCCGATCTACAGTTCCAATTACACAGTCGAAATCAGCTCGGAAGCCTCTTTGTTCATTGGACGAGGCCCTGTATGAGGGCTTCAGATTGTGGGGGACCCTAGTATAGTACCATAAACAGTAGGATCCTTACTACACGGTCCCCAAAGTAAGGTACTCCCAAGTTACGGAAACCCTAAACCCTTATAGAGCCCTTTTAAAGGAACCTTTATCGTACCCTTATAGTAACCCTTTAAAGGAACCCTATAAGGTACCCCTAATTTTCTGGAAACTCCCAGATCAACTGCCTCCGCAAGTGGCAGACCTCTTTCTAAGTACTGGAGGCTCCTCCCCAGAGAGCCCAATACCCCTTAATTCAGGAATATGGCTTAAATTATACAGGGCTTCATATTATTATATAAGGTATGTTCCTTAATTCAGGGGTATTGGGCTCCCTGGGTTTGGTATCTCTGCAGATCGAGGGTTATTATTTCCTTGAAGGGATTCTTCAGGACTTTAGGAGTTCTATACAAAGGGGCCCTTGAAGGGTTCTATAAGGGTTCCTTGATCATTGAGGGATCCTATACGGGCTCCAGGAATGGTTCTATAAGGGGTTCCTGAAAGGGATCTGTAAGGCTTCCTTCAAGGCTTTCGCGGGCTTAGGGTGGTAGGAGAGGGTTTGGGGAATCTAGCACGGCTATTGCCTTGTAGTCTCTACACTAAGATGCTAGTACCAATATGATGTGTCTAGAACCAAAGATCCCTAAACCCGGACGCTTAAGTTAAACCGCAAACCACCTTGAAGCTAAATACAAGACACCACAGTCGGCTCTGTAGTACCTGAGCCCACCCCCTCCAAACTCCCATATGGGGGTTTCCATTATTCGGGGGGCCCAAGTATAGTACCCCAAACAGAGCCCCAAACTAAGGTACCCTGAATTTTCCCAAACTCCCAGGTCCCTTAAAGCTCTGAACGCCTGAACTTCGTAGGTGCCCGAAAGGGAGCTGTGCGTGCCCGGCTATGTCGCGAGGTCCGAGGGAGCGCCTGGGAGTGCATTCGTCCGCTTAATTGAGGAACTCTATAGACTACCTAGAGTCTCCATTGTAGTTCGTTTTTGGGGTTGCCTTATAGGATCCTTAATATATAATTGGTTAAACCCAAAAAAAGAACTACAATGGAGACTATAGGTAACCAGTGGTTTTGGGGGTTCCCTTGGCTCTTTAGCTCCTTATTCAATAAGGATTATCATCATCCCTGGCTCCTAAGCTCCTCCGACATCAATATTCTCAGTAGGGAATGGGGGAATGAATCCCCATAGCAGTCCCTACATAATCTCCAATAATAGTCTCCGTAATCCATTCCCCCATTCCCTACTAAGAACCAGACTGATTCGTCAGCTTACTTGAGGAACTCTATAGAGGCCCGCGCTCCCTGTCCATAGTACGTAGAGTCTCCATTGTAGTTCCATGTTTTGGTCTGGCCAGGAATATGGTCAGGATCCGACAAGGTAGCCCCAACAAGTAAGTACAATGGAGACTAATCCCTTCCCCCTATTGTAAACGGGGGTGGGCGCCTCCTCCCCCCAATAGACACTCGGAAAGTGCTTTTATTATTAGGGGATTCGTTTATCTCTACTCACTGTGGAAGGCTCTTGCTCTTTCTCCTGTGCAGGCTTTTGCTCCTGCTCCTGCTGCGTCTCTTGCTCTCTCTCCTGCGCCTGCTCTTGAAGGTGATCCTGCTCTTCCTGCTGCTTTTGCTCGTACTCTTGCTCTTGCTCCAGCTCTTGCTCTTGCCTTAGCTCTTGCTCTGGACCCCCTGAATGCACATGAGAGTTTAAAGGGCAGGAGTGATTTCGGGAGGATTCGCCCCAATGTGTTTTTATTATTAGGGGGGTGTTTGATATTTGGGGGAATGGATTACACGTAGGGGTCAGGATGCCCAGAAAACCCAAAAGCCCAAATCGTTTGGTCTCGGGTCCCAAGAAGCCCAAATACAACGGGTACTAAGGCTTTCTGTACCAAGATCCCTTTAGAGAGGTATGTTATAATACACTACCTACAGTCGCGCAGTTCCTTTTGAGTCCGACGCAAGTAACTGCATTCCCAGGGTGGCCCCTTCTGTTCCTTGTTGTTTTAACCAGTTCTATGGTTAGGATCCTAGAATACAAACTTGGTTCACCAAAATCAAAAAAAGGAATTCCCTAAACCCTAAACCCTAAAAACCCTACCATGGAGACCATAGGTGTGTTCAGGTGTTGAGGGAGCACGTGACGACGTTCTGCTCGTTTGCTTCCCAGCTTTGTCCTCGCTTGTCTCATGGGTACTCTAGGGACCTAAATAGTTACCTATTGTATTTTGGGGGGTTCCTTATTGTAACTATGTAGTATAATATAACAGGCTCCAAAGCCCTATTCTGATTATTAAGGCCCCGATATTAGTGTCTTGCATATTAAGGGGTAGTTGGGAGTCTAAGTAAAGTACCTTTTGTAGTGTCCATGTTCACCTTTTCACCTTCCAGCGCCCTGTCCCGGAGCCTTAAAAAAACTGAACCCTCGACCCCAAGCCGATAACCCCCCAGAGATCCCAATACCCCTTAGTTAAGGAATACACCCTGAATCACAAGATTAAGGCCTCTACAATTTTTGGTATGTTCCTTAATTAAGAGGTTTTGGGTTCTCTGGGCCACTATCCTCTTCAGGAGCGCCCTAACTGGCGATGTCCGCAAGCCGGGTGGAAGATACGGCTGGAGGACTGGCTTGACGGGTTACGGGTTTGGGTTTGGGGTTTAGGGTTTAGGAAGGATGGTTGAAATTCTGGGAGACCAACATCCACCAAGATGTGCAAGCGACGGCATACAGATACAAGCGGGCTTTCAGCATGCAAACTAGGATGCCCAGTAGTAACCTTACTCACTTTTGTAGTCCTAGTTTCTGATAAAGTTACCCAATACCAAAAAGGGAGTCGCTATGGGCATCCTAGCAAGAAGTCTGAGCTTCTGCACTTCCTAGACCGAAAAGAGGCATCGGGATCTACACGTGCTGGGCTTGGTATGGAAGGGCTTGGGCTTCGTGAAGGGTGCGAAGACTCCTAAATCAACGCCCTAAAGCACCACGGTGAGGCTTCACGGATGTTCGAGGCTTCTAGGGGTGCGTGACGAAAACTTGGCTGGCACTTAAACTTCGGGGAAATAGGGCCTATAGGGGTTGGATTCTTGAAATCCGGGGAAGAGCGTGGCGTCGCGGCTTCAGGGTTCCTGCAATCCGAGAAGGAAGGAGTTCAGAAACTCGATTCAAAAATGTTAAGAAATTGAGGATCCTTGATCTTAGGCTCCCTACACCAGGGTATCCCTAGTTCTTACAGACCGCTGGGATGGATCCGCTGTGAAATCTTACCCTAAACCCTAAACCTTAAAACCTAAATCCTAAGCCCTATTAAACCCTGAACCCTAAACCCTCATACCCTAAAACCCTAAACCCTGAACCCTAAACCCTAAAACCCGGAACCCTAAACGCCAGGATCGCAGCCTACCATGGTGGCATTGGCGGAAGATAGAGACGCTGGGCGACCCCAACCTAGAAGCCGTGTTTAGGGTTTAGGGTGTGTGCACAGTGTGCGGGCAGTGGGTGCGCTTCTTATGGGGGCGCACCCACTTATCGTGCGCTTGCGTCAGCATGTAGTCCCGCCTCAACCACCCCAACTATTCTCAATTAGGTCTTAGGGTGCACCCCCCAAACCCCCCTCAAGGGGGCTTTCTTGCTCTCTGCTTCCCTTGGCAGCTCTGCATTCATTTCAAAGGAAACCACAGCTGAGATGGATTAGTGTGGGGTTGTAGGCGCCGGCCGCTCGCGAGAAAAACGGGTTTCCAGCAAACACTTCGCTCCTCGCACCCGGTCAGGGTTGCTCGAAGGAAAGAAGCTCAAAAGGCCTGGTTTGGCAGGTTGCTTTCGGATTGAAACACCGGAAGGGGGGTACCCCGAGATCGGCCTCGCCCCTTGTAGTCACCAAAAATTCGCGCCTGATTTTCGGATAATGAGCCGCTTTTCCCCTTCGGACCTGCCCCGGATGTCCCGGGGCCCCAGATCCGGCTGGGGTGCTCTCCCAGACCCCGTTAAAAAGCACAGGCGACGCCGATGGTCGTGGGTTTGGGGTTCTTCTTATTTGCCTGCCAGCACAGAATTCATTCGCAGGGCGGCGTCACTACGGGTGGACTTTACCCTCGCTCCCCGTTCTGACGGGACGCTCGGCCGGGGGCCTGGGTCAGAGCCTCGAGCGCCCATGCAAATGGTCAGCGGAGCTCTCGGCAGTTTAGGGTTTAGGGTTTTAGGGTTTAGGGTTTAGTAGGGTTTAGGGTTGGGCTCCACAAAGACTCCAAAGACTAAACCCAGAAACCCAATTGGTGAGTCATATAACATAACATAGCATATTGCAAGATGTACTGTACAAAACTACACTATACGACACTATACTATGCTACACCATACTACACCATCAAGATGCTATAGTACGACATAACACACCATATGTCGTAAGCGCCTAAACCCGGCGATCTCCAAACCCTATAAAAGCCCTAAACCCTGAAGTTCCTCATACTGTCCTTCGGGAAACAGTTTGAAAACAGAAAGCGCCGTGGAGTCGTACGATCAAGCGACTGAATCTTCGACTCCCTTGAATCGAGCTGTGATGCCCCCGGAAGTTGAGGAGTAGTAGTGGTAGTAGTAGGAGTAGTAGTAGCAGCAGCAGCAGGAGCAGTAGTAGTAGTAGTGGTAGTAGTAGTAGTAGTAGTAGCAGCAGCAGGAGCCTTTTTAGTAATAGTAGTAGTAGTAGTAGTAGTAGTAGTAGTAGTAGTAGTAGTAGTAGTAGTAGTAGTAGTAATAGTAGCAGCAGCACTAGCAGTAGCAGCTACCAACCACGCTTGCGCTGCACCGTCGCAACACCTCCATTCTATGGGCTCAATGCACTTTGACCCTGTCAAGCTTGCGATTTTGAGGAAGATCGTTCGGTTTTCACGGTGTTGTGCCATCGCAGCAAGAAAAGAAAAAAACACTACAAAATACGCGTTAAACCGAAACCACATAGCCAAATCCTAGGAAGATGCACATCGATGCCAACTTCATCTTCGGCCGCCTGGAGCGAAGTTCGGGCACTTTTCTGTGCGGTTTTTCTGGGGCTACTCAGAGGGCCCATAAGATGTCAAGGGCTGTAAAGGTGTTTCTAAGGGTTGTGTAATACGGAGTGTACCGTAGATCATGAGATTAAGCCCTTGATGATTTCGAGGCACGTTAGGAGATTCAAGAACGTTGGGCTGTCTGGGTAGTGATGCCTTTTGGGGCTGTAAAGCTCTGGCGTCTTTAGAGGGCCTTCGTTGTTTAAGGGGTTTGGGGTTTTGGTTTGTTGGGGCTTTACTGGTTTCTGATTGTCCTTCGGGGATAGAGTCCAGCAGACGACCGGGTCTGGAGGTATCCGGCCTTTCAACAATCAGAAACAGTATCGCGTCAGGGTTCTTCGATACCCCCAATCCTTGAAAACTGCATTCAGTATTCAAGACACCATCTTAAGGTATTAGGTTTCAGGTTTCTTTGGGAACGGGACATTGATTTGTTTAGCGGTCGGGGGGGTTGGGTTTTGATTTCGGAGTGGTGGTTTCCAAAACATGAGGTCTGGGGCAGAACATGGCACAAACTTGGCCACTTTTCAGAACACCCAGTACCACCCTACGAACCCTGCCCAGCCGCAAATCCTAATAGTTTGCATGCCTACATGCTAATTCCGTTATAACCTTGAAGTTATACCACACCTAAACTGCCGATCCATAAAGCCCGACAATCGAATGCCTGGACCCGCTCAGCCCTCAACCCCCGTCCGTTGACCCCGTTGGTTTTTGCAGCTCGAGAGAGAGCGAGGGAGAGAGAGAGAGAGAGACAGACAGAGAGAGACAGAGAGAGAGAGAGAGGGAGAGAGGGAGAGAGGCAGAGAGCAATGACTTCGAAAATCTCCTGAGATTTACCTGAGGAAACATTCCAGACGATATTCCCGACTATTGGCCGCGGCTGAGATCGCTGGCATCTTGCAGTGAAGAGTGTTCAGCAGTTAGCTCTTGTGCGACTTTGCAGCTAGAAGTGGGTTTTCGGCTATGGCTTGTTTTGATGCTGTTAAGACGTTGAGCTTTCTGTCCTTGCAGGGCTTTAAACTTGCAGTTCCGCTTTGATCCCGCTGCATGGTTGCAGTGCTTTCTTCCTTCCGTGAACGTGCCCCAGACAAAAGTCCCCTCCACGAGCCTTTCCTGGGTTTTGTAACAAGATAGATAGTAGATAGGGTTTAGGGTTTAGGGTTTAGGGTTTTGGGTTCAGGGTTTAGGGTTTAGGGTTTAGGGTTTAGATAGTTTGGCCCACAAATATGTGCGAGAGTACTGTTTGGGAGCAGTAATCTGAGATTCTTCATTTTCTCAAAGCTCTACATCCTACACCCTAGCCCGAAGCCCTAAATCCACGCTGTAAACCGTCAACCAACAACCCGAAACTGTAAACCCAAAAACCCGAGCACGGACCGTAAACCTTGAACCCTAGACCTAGATCCAAAAAGCACGAAACTGTAGACCCTAAACCTATTTCCTAAATCGATCAAAAACCTGTGTATACTGTAAACCCTGCACCCAAAACCAAAACCCTATTCTGCAAACCCTACAAGCAATATTGCAAACCCTACACCCACCCAAGCACAGGATCTTCATGATCTTCAGCTCACTGGACCCCTTCCTCGATCCTTGGTGCGGCTGGAGAATTTGACGCAGCTCCAGGCAGCTTTCAGCACTCTCCGGTACAGGGTACAGGGGGGCCTTCTTTCGGAAAGCTGGGATCCGCAGCACGGTCCAGGGTTCATGGCTCGCCCTGAGTTTGGGGCTTCGGCTTTAGTCTGAAAGGGGTCCGAAGAGCCCATTGATCTGGAACTTCCATGCAGGATGCTTGTAATGCACTGTAAGGGTCGGAATAGATAGTCAGTAGCAATATCCACTACAGTCCCTGTACACTTATACTATAACATATCCTATTTCTAGCGGTATTAAGGCACCTAAAGTAAGGTTGGTGTTCTGGTCATATGACGGTATATGGTCAGTAGAGGTTTATACCCGTAGGCTGAGGCCGAAATCCGAATCGGAGGTGCAGCTGAACGACTTGGAGTGCGGCGTTGGTGAAGAGGCACGTGCTCCTGCATACACTATAAGAGTACTTGGAGGTTCATGGGTAGTTATGAGCAGGGCTATTAGTCTCCTAATCAGACTTAGAATTCCAGTTACCCTACTCATAACCCCACTTATAACTACCCATGAGCCTCCAAGTAGGAGAGCTAGATTGATGACGACGCGTGTGGTCACAGCAGGGGGTACAAGGCTTAAACACAGAACTCATAAACCATGGACGTGGTCGCTAGCAGTTTCCCATAGGGTCTCACTGCCTCCATTGAAGCTGAACAGTCTCACTTGAAACCCTAAGGCTACTGGCCCGATCTCCCTAAGCGAGATTGTAGACAGCCTAACTCCTAAACAAGTGTTTTCCACAAAGCATGCAGGCTGCTTATGGCCGTGGGATAGCCCTGGTCCCTGCGTTGCAGGTCTTAATACCTTGAGGGTTCAGAACTCAGCGTCGTGGTTTTGGGGTGAGTTTCAGATTTTTGGGGTTCTCCAGGCACCGTTTGGGAGCTCAGCGGTGCCTGGCCTGCACGGGTCCTAAACCCGAAACCCGAAGCCTCTCGCGGGCACTTTAAGGGATCCCAGCATGGTGATTTGTCGTAAGTGCTGTCCGCACCAGGTTGCAAGGAAGAGGACCAGGGCACGTAATAAGCAGAGTTCGAGGTTACAGCTATGGCCTATGGTGACTCTACTTCCTGCTTAATTACCAACCCTGATCCTATAGGTAGGCTCTCATGTATGACGGATACGAAGCATAGGGGCATAAGGTAGACACACGCCCAGAATGCAGTGTGCCTTAAGCCGCAATCTTAGACCGCAAACAGCGCATATTGACCCTAAGCCCTAAACCTTTGCAGAAACTTCGTAGGAACCCTTACATGCAAAATAGCCCCTATAGTAGCCTTATAGGAAGACTTATAGGAACCCTATTTTGGAACCCTTGTAGCAACCCTTACAGAGGGACCCCATGTTCCAGGACGTCGTGGCCGAGCTCCTCCGACTCCCGAAGATGCGCACTCTCAACGTGGATGCGAATCCTCGGCCCCTTTGCCACACCTTTCGCGTTTTAGGGGGTTGAGGGTTTGGTGGGGCTCATGATTTGTGCCGTTGATGGTGTAATATCGGTTTTTTGGGTGCGTTTACGACAGGGTAGGTTTGGATACGGCCGACACGCACAGCGAGCCCTCAAACAGCGCAACCGAGATCCCGGATTTAAATACATGTGGTACTTGAGGGTCGGGCCTTGCCTCGAAACATTTGGGAGTTTCCGAAAATGGGGGACCCTAATATAGTACCCTAAATGGTAGGATCCTTATTATAAGGACCCCAAATAAGGTACCCCCTAATTGTCGGAAACCCTAAACCCTTATAGAGCCCTGTTAAAGGAACCTTTATAGTACCCTTATAGTAACTCTTTAAAGGAACCCATAAGGTATCCCCTAATTTTCGGAAACTCCCATTTGCAGCTGCCACCCAGCTGCCCTGGATTGGTGGGTATGCGGTGTGAGCCTTACAATACACTGTTGGAAGTCCCAATGGCCGACGACGTGAACAGTTGTGTAGGTCATGCTACCCTGCCCCAGAGACTTGTGTTAAACCCGAAGCCCTAGACTTTCTACAGACTAATGTTGGGACTCTTGCCTGGTTCCTGCAAGTTCGGGTCTCATCAGGACAAATGCAGTAATTATAGTTATGGGGTGGAGTTTAGGGTTTACGGTTTAGGGTGCAGGGAGTGGGCATAGCTGTACTGGGCCCCTCCCAAATGACGGAGTTTAGGTTTTAGGGTTAGGGTGCTTTCCTGTTTCACTTTCGGGGATACGCTGCTGCTAAAACCCATCGCAGCACAAATGTCATAATGCGTCCCAGCATTTTCTCTTGTATGCACAGGTACAAACAAACACATATGGTTGAATGTGCTTATATGAGAGAGAGAGGAGAGACACAGATAGAGAGAGAGAGAGAGAGAGAGAGAGAGAGAGAAAGATAAACAGACGCACAGAGACACGTCAGCAACCTCCTATGTTTTCGCAGCCTCCAGACAAGGGTTTGGGTGCCTTATTGCCCAGGCTTTGCGGCTGCGTGCCTTCTCGGACCAGAGTGCCTTTCGGTGTCAATTGTGTCAAGAAGGCTTTCGTTGTTTCACAGCCCCAAAATAGAGTATCAGGACCCCTAAAGGTCTAGAGTATAGGGTTTATTGTTTAAGGCCCCAAAAGTATCAGGGCCCCTAGAGTATAGCACCTGATCAATAATTCAATAGCATCCCCTCGCTTAAAGGCTTAGTAAGGATGATGGTGCGAATCCTAAGATGAAGTCCGTCGAAGGTGTTCAATGTTACTACTATATGCTGGAACAATTTATGACATCGCCTCCTTGAGTGAGTACTATTGTGCGGATCCTATAAGATGAAGATGAAGGATATTGGGTTCGGCAATCGGTAAGAGGATTTAGGTTGCTTTGACTCATGATTCAAGATTTAGGCTATACCTTAGCAATGAATAGCCCGCCTTTTAGGGCTCTTCATTATGATTTCTCTCTATAAGTCCTTAGAAAGGTAGGTTATTCCGTTAGAAAGGTAGGTTATTCCGGGTGAAAGTAAGACTGCGGGATGAGGGGAGGTGGAGATGTGGCATGCGTCTGGCTTCACCCTCGGCTCTTCTTGGACTGTTCACATGCTATGATCCTAGGGCTTGTACGAGTTTCGGCAGCACCTACCTGCAGCCGGAAAGACCTCCCTTTTTAGACTTCCTTATTATGGTTTCTATATATACTTCCTTAGAAGGGTGGGTCTTTTCGGCTACATGCGGGTAAAAGTTGTCAGGCACTAGCTACTGGTTCCAGTGGCTTTAGTTGGGAGCTTCAACAGACAGAAGCAGGGGTATCTCAACTTTTGTAAGTTTGGAACACAACGCCATGAACCCGAGACAAGAAAACACGATTAACCAACCCCTACATAAAGTCTGAAAGGCCCTTCAGCAATCATTATACCCTCCAGAGCTATCCTCGCCCTAAAGCCTAGGCACTTACAGTAAAATCCCCAAAAGTTGGAAACCCCATAGCCTCAATCCTTAACAGTAATGCATAAGGAATCCCAGCACTACTTGGCCTTAATCAGGTTTCCAACTTTATGGGGTTTATTGTCAGTCCTAGGTATGCACCAGGCTCTAGATGCTGAAACGCCCAACTCCTTTCTTGGGGAGGGCCTAGGGTTTAGGGTGGAAGCTCTACCTTTAATCCCCTGCCTTCTCAGGGACTTGTATAGGGAATAACAACAGCTCAAACCTGCCCAAATCCTTTAATTATGAAATATAGCTTAATCCATGTTAGGTACCCTACTGTAAATAAATTTAATTCCTTAAGTGAAGGATTTTAGCTACTCTGGGAACCTAGAGTCTTCATTCTATTTATTTTCTGGGTAATCAGGATCCTAAAAAAACACTGTTAAACCAAGGAAGGAACTACAATGACGATAGGTACACCCTGAAACATCCAACGCTATGCGAACTTTCACTCAGGGATCTCAATGCCCAAGTCGGTGAGACCCAGATTGAGGCTGCAGGGGGTGTAGAGATGTAGTAGGGGTTCAGGGTTTGGAGGTTGAGGGTTTTGTGTGTAGGGTTGGGAGGTTTAGGGTTGAGCTATAAGGGTTCAGGGTTTTGGGTTTCGAGGCTTCCGCAGCCTTGAAGAAGCTGAACTGTTTTAGGATTCCACAGTCCGCAGTCAAGATTTCCTTACAAGGTTCCTTGAAAGAGGTAGGTTGCTGGGGGTTGCGGTTACCTTTCCTGTAAGGGGTTCTACGGGATTCTATGAAGTTCGAGTTTTTGGAGGGTTTAGGGCTTAGGCGTTAGGGCTGTTGGTAACTTTGGTGTGCATCCCCTGAGGGTCCAAAGGACCCAGCGATTAGGCACGCTTGTTTACGATGGTACTTGCAGGTTCGGATTCGTGAGGTAGAAGAATGTTAAAAACTGGACCTTTAGGGTGCGTATGTGCATATGTTTACATGACAATATTTGATCTGGATCTATTGCTGCGCAGATCGTGGAAGAGAGGCAGACAGAATCCGAGGCCATGCAGTACAGTGCAGTGCGACTCCTCTATAAACCCTGAAAAACCAATAAACCCGATAAGCCCTATAAGCCCGAAGCCCTACAAACCCCAAAAAACCCGAACCCTAAACACCACCGCCCCCCAAGTGTCGGTCGATCTGCCAGGTTGAGCTTCGTTTCTAAACTCCAGACCTTAACCCGTAACTCCGATCTCCACACTTCATACCACCTACAGTCTCCATTGTAGTTCCGTTTTTTGGTTTAACCAATTATATATTCAGGATCCTATAAGGTAACACCAAAAAGGAACTACAATGGAGACTATAGGTAGACCCTTAGACGCAGAATCCGAGAATTGAGCAGAAGCCTTAACCTGTGCTTCCAAGGACCTTATAGTTAGGGGCCTAGACCCCTTCCCTAAGGCTCCATGTGCCCATATAGTAGGTACTTAGGCCTTAAAGGGGTCACTATATGGGTACTTTAAGGCTTAAGTACCTACGGGTACATGGAGCCTTTGGGCTTAAGGACCCGACAATCAGGTCCCTGGAAGCCTAGGATTAAAGGAATCATAGAGCCCGTTGGCACAAGGTCGGCTGCAGCGAGAAGGGGGAATTATGACTCGCTCGGAGACGGCGGTGTGAAAAGAATCGGAGCACGGAACAGGAAGAAGTGTTCTTGTTTGCCAAGCCAAAAGTTCTGTATGGTCCTTAGCCAAATGGAGCCATGATTCCAAGCATCTGCAGGTACTTGAGGGCTCCGTGCTAGGATAGATCAACTATACCCTGAAACCAGAATTTAGACTGATAGACTTGGGATATGGGCTCTCTGTAAAGCTTGAAGGGTTGCCTGGGAGAGGGTGCGGCGTTGGCGATGTCAGCATCGTGTTCTACTCTTTGGTAATTTAGAACTGCCCTTCTTAATGTGAGTTTTCTCGGGGGGTCCTAACAATTCTCCCTGCAGAACGACGAGGGGTGAAAATAATCGGGGATTGACCCCTAAACCCTGAACCCGAAAGCTTTGAACTCTAAGCCGTCAAACCCCCGCACGCCACCCAGGATCCCCCAACGGCCCTTTAATGTAGCCCTTATGGTTGGTCCCTAACTGGGCATTTCGGGTATATTAGAGGGTAGTTGGGGGGGGCCTAAGTAAGTAGTGCGCACACCCTGAGCCCGACCCTACATCCTCACGCCCTGAGCCTTAAACCCCAAACCCAAACCCTGAACCCTATGCCGTAAGAGGAGGCTCGAGAGTCCTACACTACCGGCTCCAGGGTGATAGCATAGTATACTACACTATACTAAATATATGGGTTTAATACAATAAGATATAGTGGCATACAAGCTAGTACAATAATACAAGGGTTTTGACAGGGTTCTGGACTAAGGGTTATGAACGCCTGTCCACGGCTTATGTAATAAGCGACTAGCACCAGAGCCTATATTCGGCAGGATTCATGCATGTTGTGTCTGTGAGTGTTGAAAACCAGACCTCGCTGCAAAGTAGCTTATCTACTAGGACCCAGAGTAGGCCCTTATTCTTTTTTTTAGGGTCTAGGTTCCCTTATAAGCCCCTTTAACCCAAACAGGGCACCGTTTTTATTCCTGGGTTACTCTTGGGTCTTATCTATGGTTGTTTGAGGTTCCAACGTCTGAGCCTCCAGAGTGCTAGCGCATCCAAAGTAGGCACCCTAAAGTAAACGCCAGAAAGTTGGAATATGATTATCCTAAACCCTTTATGGTAAATTACAAGGTATCCTACCCTGAAACCATATTCCAACTTTCTGGAGTTCCCTTTAAGTTGACAAGGCCATCTCCACCCGCACAATACCTTGGCGGCGCTCCGGTGCCTAAATTCTGTCGGCCATAAAGACCAGCAGAACCTCAAACTCAGCTTTTAGCCACACTCTAGAAACCCTAAGCCCTAACCCCTAAACCCTAACCCCTAAACCCTAAGTAAAACTGCAAACCTGCAGCCTGAACTTGGAATCCCAAATCCCAAACCCCAAGCCCCGAACTGCACCCCACATCCTTAACCCTAAACCCTCCACCCTGAACCTTCAGCTCTAGCCTAGCCTACCAAAAGCTCCACCTGCTTTCTGTAGGCTCTTATTTATAAGCCCGAATATGAAGTTTATGGGGGCCATGCAACAAAGGTTGATTTTTTTTGTAGGTTAGGATACCTCCGAGGAGACTCAAACCCGCACCATCTCGGATGCTCTTCTCTATTCTACTATACCTTATACCCCTCAAGCCTAAACCCTAAACCTTAAACCCCTAAACCCGAAACCCTGGAACCCTAAACCTCAAAACCTCAAAAACCATAAGCCCTAAACCCTAAACCTTAAAACCCCTAACCCTAAATCGTACCTAGACCCTCAAAAGTAGGTAGAATGATGGCCCATAGCCTATAAAAAAGTCTATTATTCTACATACTTTTGGGGTCCAGGTAACCCTAAACCCTGAACCCTCAACCTTAAAACCCTAACCCCAAACCCTAAACCCTCCACCTTTAAACCCTAACCCCAAGCCCTAAACCCTGACCTCAAACCTTAAACCCCTAACCCTAAGCCTTAAACCTGAAACCCCTAAACCCGGAACCCTAGAGTCGGATGCCAGGTTGATCTGGGATTGCCAGAAGACGCTGCTGGAACTCGCACGGTGCAGCTGCCCAAAGGCTGCCAGACACCACAGGGCCTTGGGGTTTCGCGCTTTAGGGCTTAGGGGCTTAGGGTTTAAAGCCCCGGGGTCTAAGTTTACATTAGTTTCGGATTTCGGTCTTGAGATGCGAGATCTTTTGTATGGTGCTGATGTTAGGTTCGGTGTTCTCGGTTCGCGATTTTCCACGTTGCCCCAAACCTACAACAAGTAGTTAGGTCATGAACGAGTATAACCCCAAGAGGGCAGGTTTTGGATGCATTGGCAAGGATGGGTGTTGAGTTCACATACTGCCTGCTGGACTGGGATTCCCTGAACAATTCTCGCCACAAGCTCTCCCTTGCGGATCGCACCGGAAGCACCGTGGTCTTGCTTCGACTTTGGGAGATTCTAGAGCATAGGTTACCTTTATCCTTTCAGGAATTATACAATCCTTCCTTTTGGGGATTATATGATCCTACCTTTTGGGGATTATAAATTCCTACCTTTTGGGGATTATAAAATCCTACCTTTTGGGGATAATAAAATCCTACCTTTTGGGGATTGTAAAATCCTACATTTTGGGGACTATAAAACCCTACCATAATGGAAAATCTTAACTTTTTTTGGGCTAGGGTACTCAGCCCGTGAGTTGCTCATGAGCTCGTCTACATGTGCAACCGTGTGAAGGGGCCTATCTTTGAGGCCTCGGGACTCCTGAAAGTCAAAGCTAAGAGCTCGAGCTGATCAGGATCATCTATACTATTTTTGGGGGCTCCCTAATATGACTATTATAATAGAATACATCCCAAACCTGCTGATTATTAAGGCCCTATATTACTTTACTAGTGCAGGTGCTCGGGTCCTGTTTTGGATGCTCGAAGAAGCACGTCACTCTTGTATCGAGAAGGGAAATACTTTCGTGGTCATGTGTGGCCACATGCCCGTCCTGACGGACACCCTTCTGATAGGCCCTTCTGAATTACGCACTGAACCGAGGGTATTGAGGGGTTTAAGGCTCAGGTGGCTCAACACACGACACATGTGCAGGTTGAAAGGTGGCTTAGGCTTTACCTATGGCCCCAACCCCCTACGAAATTGTAGGTTATGATCTTGCAATTGAAGCGCAGAGCCTTCAAAATAGTAGCTTAAGACGGCCAGACCCCAAGAATCCTTGTGTGAGATGTTCCCCCAACACCCCACTCTGCCCCCCCCCAGGTACCCTATTCGTGACCGTCGTGACCTTTATCGACCTATTAAAGGGTTCCTGGGGTTGCTGACGAGTCTCAGCCCCCTAAAACCCTAACCTAAACCCTAAACCCTATCAGCCCTAAACCCTATTATAATCCCTAAACCCTCAACCCTAGCAGCAGCCTAGGTTCCAGTGTGTCTGCCTCTCGAGGCATGGTTGGGTGCTGAAACGGGCTGCTTTCTGCTTTCGAATTCCGGGTTGAGGAGTTTAGAGCGTAAGGCTTTGGCTTCGGGTTGGCATAGGTCAGCCGATTCTAGGGTCTTGGCTGAGCTGCGTATCCCGCATGTGTGCGGTCCTATGTTGCGCGCTGCAGCTAACCTTTCACCTTTTTCGGTAGTACCGTCCCTCTATATATATATTCCCTATATAACCAAAAGGCTAACCTTTAGTTTCCCATGATACCCGACAAGTACGACAAGTAGGTATATGATGAATGACTTTTAGCCCTGCAACTCCGTTCAGGAGGTCTTAAAGTCTTACAGACTGGCGGCAGTTCTTTCGGTGTTTGGTGCATGTGGGCCGACGGCGCCCTTCTGTGGGACCCTTGAAAATAACGGTCCGATGATTTGGAGATTACACATGCCTGTGCACATTCCCGACGATGACTCGAAAACCCTCAGACAGCAATCTGACCCTTAGCAGACACTTCAAAAACGTTTCGAACAGTTCATGCAGCCCCTCAGAAAGACTCTATAGACGTCTTTCACACCTGCATGTGCTTCAAGACAAGCTGAGACCCCCAAAGCTTAGGGTGTCTATACGGTTTAGGGACCTGACACTCGCAACCTTGTCCTGGCCAGACGATGTCGTCGCGATTTGCGGGGCGGGTTTCCCGGCACAGTTCGCGAAGGTGCAGTGCGCTACACCCTCCAGTCTAAACTTCGGAGGTTCCACATGCAGGATAGTCGTCATACAGCGTTCCTGCATAATTACACTGTAGATATCACCAGATATCTGTTAAAGCTGGTTCATTATGGCGCGTTCTGGGGCTTGACCCGAATGGAGCCGGTGTGTTTAAGAGATGCCCTGTAAGCCCACCTGAAAACTGAAATCATCACACGACTTCACTTTGACGGTCACGACACCCTCGCAAAACGACGGTTGAAATTAACTACCATGTACTATATAAGGTATCAAGCATTGAAGTATCCCGTTATAGCATTCCACAATAATCATCCGTATTCCATATACGTCCGCCCCAGTTTTCTCCTCCCGCAACCACCCGCCTTTGGTAGGTTCTGGTTGAAAAGCCCGGGCTACTTCCAGGACCACTCGTGTCAGATTGATATCAGTAGCCCAATGCGCATCTGTCGGAAGGCCGAAAGCAGTTTTATATGCCAACTTGCATCAGCCGTGACAGCCATGATAGTTTGGCAGTGCCACTTCGACGAAGTCGTGCCCCTTTAATCCCGACTTATGTTTGGCAAGGGCATAGTACTGTCACCGGACACCTTGAATCCCAAACCCTACAAGATCTACCTCTTCGTGTCCAGAGGCTCCGAGATCCTTTGATTCTCCTTAAATCACAGCAGCACCTCATGTGTGTAGATGATACAAATATGTGCGTACACACTCATACATGCATGCAAGCTTGCATGCACATACACGTACACACGTACATGCGCATGTGCATGCAGATACACATACACATGACACACATTTACACATTTACACATCATAAACCTACACGCACAGGTACACATACACATACACACACATGCGCACATCCAGGC